GAAAATCAGCTACGTGAGCTGATTCTCAACCCCCCCCCTTGCTATCCCCCCCTTTCGCCCGACCTGAGATTAGTGGGGTTGCCGTACATCTGGTGCGTGCAAGACATGCTGGGTCGCAAATGTGTATTGCTGGATTTTCGCGTGCGAACCACATTGTAGTGGCCTCTGGCCAGTGCCGCCGATCCATGGCGCTTTTGATGCTATTGTTGGTATGGACGATGGCGACGACAACGGACCACCAGCGGTCGACGAGTGGGATCATTACGACGACGACCGACGAACGGGTTAACGACGACGGTTGACGACGACAATGATGACGACGACGGGGGAAAGAGGAGGAGGAGGACGAGGAGGAGGAGGAGGAAGAGGAGGCTGATGATGATGATGATGATGATGATGATGATGATGATGATGCTGATGATGATGATGATGATGATGATGATGATGATGATGATGATGATGATGATGATGATGATGATGATGATCACGGTGACGTTTACGATTATGTAGTGGCCTTCGACCAATGCCGCCACCGTGCCAGAGTGGTGTCGCAGGGCTCTTCAGTGTTCGTTGGGATTTCGTGGTAGGTCTCTCGGGGGTCTCATGGGTACACTTTTGAGGCATCCAGGGGGCCGTTGTGGGGACCCTCGGGGCCTCTTTTGGGCCTCTTGGGAGCCTCTTCTGGGCCTCTTGGGTCCTGCTAGGGGCCTGGGGGCCTCCTGGGACCTCTTGGGGTCCTCTTGGGGGCCTCTTGGGGGCCTCTTGGGGCCTCTGGGGGGCTTCTGGAGGCCGAGGGTTTGAAATTTCCGTTCGGGTTCCCCGTCTGGCTCCCCTTTTGGAGCCGTTTTGAGAGCCTCTCGGGCCGTCTTGGGGGGTTCTTGGGCAGTCTTGGGGCTCTCTTGGGCCGTCTTGGGGCCATTTGGGGAGCCTCTTGGGCCGTCTTGGGGCGATCTTGTGGGCCTCTGGGGCCGTCTTGGAGCGTCGGGACGCAGAATCTGTCCGAAACCATTGTAAAATTAATGATTTGGGCATCTAAGGGTCCTCTTCTGGGGGTCTTGGAGGCTTCTTGGAGCGTCTCGGCGGCCTCTTGGGCCGTCTGGAGGTCATCTTCGGCGTCTTGGAGCGCTCTTTGGGCGTCTCGGGGGCTTCTGGCGCCGTCTTGGGGGGTCTTGGGGCCCTCTTGGCCCGTCTTGGGGCACTCGTGGGCCCAGGAAAGCCCTCCCCAGAAAGCGGACCACAACTCGCACCCCCCCCCCTCCCTCCCCCTTTTCCCCGGCAGAGCCCCCCAGTCCCCCCCCCCCCAGCTGAGCGGAAGCTCAGGCTCCAGGCTGTAGGCTGTAGCTGAGATTTGTTCAAAATCACACGCGGGATCGGCGGACTTGCAATACGGTGCAAGAATATTCTCCGACGCCGTACATTTGCAATTTAATGGGCCCAAATATATTGCACCACCCCTTTTCAGCTGGTCCGCCAGAGGTCAGGAGAGGAGGGGGAGAGGGGGGGCTAGGGAGGTGACGAGCGGGAGCGTGGACGCGTTCGTGCATGCGCGCGTGCGTGCGCGCGTCTGCTATGTCATGCACGCCGCTCCGATGGGGATGCTGGGTGGGTGGGTCACAGTCCCGTCCCGTTCAGGAGGGTCCCGTTCCAAAGTGGCAAACACACGTGTCTCTCTTGTCCCTTCACCCCTCGCTGTTCGTTCATATCTCTCTCACGCTGCCTCTGTCCCTCCCTTCCTCTTTTGGGGCACGGTTGCGTGTACAATGTTATAGATGTAGGTGTATGTATGTATGTAGATATGTATGCATGCATGTGTGTATGTATTTGTGTGTGTATGTTTGTATATATGTATGTATGTATGCATGTATATGGTTGTGTGCATTATGTGTGTATGTGTGTATATTTGTACGTATGTATGTACGTATGTATGCATGCATGTATGAATGCATGCGTATATGTATGTGTGTATGTATGGTTGGTTGTTTGTATGTACATGTATACATGCATGTACGTATGTATGTGTATATGGATGTGCGTATGTATGTATGCATGTAGGCATGCATGTTTGTATGTGTGTATGTGTGTGTGGATGCATGCGTGTGTACGCATGCATGCATACATGTATGCATTGATGTGTATGTATGTATGCATGCATGCATGTATGTCTGTACGTCTGTATGTCTGTGCTTTATGTATGTATGTATGATTATATGTGCTTACGTGTGTATGTATGCATGAATGTATGTGTCTGTGAATATGTGTATGTGTGTATTATGTATGTATGTATGTATGTATGTATGTATGTATGTATGTATGTAGGTATGTGTCTATGTGTGCATACATGCATGCATGCATGCATTTATGTATGTATGAATGCATGTGTGTATATGCATGCATGCATGCATGCATGTATGTACGTACGCACGTATGTATGTGTGTATGTATGTGTGTATGTATGTGTGTATGTATGTATGTATGTATGTATGTATGTATGTATGTATGTATGTATGTATGTATGTATGTATGTATATGTATGTGTGGATGCAGGTGTGTATATGTATGTATGTATGTCTGTGTATGCATGCTGCGGCAGGCAGGGGCAGGCAGGCAGGCAGGCAGCAGGCAGGCAGGGAGGCAGGGAGGCAGGAGCAGGGAGGCAGGGAGGCAGGGAGGGAGGGAGAGGGAGGGAGGGAGGGAGGGAGGGAGGAGGGGGAGGGAGGGGTGAGGGAGGTATGTTATTATGTATGTATGTATGTATGTATGTATGTATGTATGTATGTATGTATGTATGTGCGTATGTGCGTATGTGTGTATGTGTATGCGGGTCCGTAGCCATTTTGGCTCAAGCCATTTTGGCTCAAGCCATCTCGGCTCGAGGTGGCCTGAGTGGCTTGGGCGGCGCCGCACCCCCTGCCCTCGGCCGCGCGGGGCGCGGCGGATGGGGCGACAGCGCGGCCGGGGCGGGCCATGTACGGCGGACCCTGCGGGGCGGGCGCCGGCGCAGCGGCGGCGCAGCAGGGCGGCCTCCCCAGCCTCCTGGAGGGCTGGGCCTGGGGCTGGGGCTGGTGCCTCATCCCAGTGCCGCTGGCAGGAGCCGCGGGCGCGGGGCCGCTCCTCGCCCCCGCGCCGGGTGCGTGGGCCGGGCCCCGCGCGGCCTGGCCCGGCTTGGCGGAAACAGAAGAAGGCAAACCCAACCAGCGGGTTGAGGAGGCGCCTGCGGCTGCACGCGCCGAAGGCGGCGGAGGCCCCGGCGAGCAGCTGGCGAGCTCCCCCGCGCGCGGACCCGCCGGGCCCAGGCCGCTGCCTGCAGCGCCCGGGGCAGGAGCGACTGGCCCCCTGGCACGAGGACCGACGGCGCAGCCGGTCGGCAAGAAGAGCGACGGCTGGACGCCACCCTGGCCGGGCGCCGAGCGGCGGGGACTGCCGCAGCCCGCCGCGCCCCCCGCGCCAGCCGGAGGCCCAGCCGCGGCGCCGGGAGGAGGAGCGGGCGCCCCCCCCGAGGCGGGCACGGAACCCGGCGGGCAGCCCGCCGCCTTCCAAGCCTTGGGCGGCGACGGCGGCCGACCAGGCAAGGGACGCAAGCAGAGGGAAGCCCTCCTCGAGCTACTCCTACTCGAGCGAGGAGGAAGCAGAGAGCGACGCGGCGGGACCAGACGCGCCGGCCGCCGCGGCCGGGACAGCGGCCGGGCCAGCGCCACCAGCAGCAGCGCGGACGGCGGCCGCGGCTCCACGGGCTCTGGCCGCGGCGGCGCGGGCTCTGGCCGCGCCAGCCGCGGCTCCGCCGGCGGCGGCCCCGCCGGCAGCGCCTGCGGAGCCCGCGCGGCAGGGCGCCGGGAGCACGGCGGCGGATCTCCACCTACCATGTTTTTTTTGGTTGTGTCGGGTTATAAGTTGTTACAAGGGATTATAACGTCCACTATAACCTGCGTACAACCTGCTACAACCAGCTCGTAGCGCTCGTAACATCCTAAGTCACACCCTGACGTGCAAAAACAATATAACCCAACACCAGAGGATATAAGTGTTATAGGGTGGTTATAACTCCAAGATGACGTCAATATAAAATATATTCAGAAACTTAGGTTGACTTACAAAAGTGATCTTGGAAGTTGACTTGATTTACGAAAAAGTTATTTTGACTTATGAAAATCGAATTCTACAAACGTGTAGCCTTCTACGAACCCAGTGGTCGACCATCTTGGGAATTTCGCCACTGGGCCAAAACTGCTACATGCATGTACCTTCGCTTCTTACACGTCTATTTACAAAAGCCAAAGGAACTTTATCAAGAAGTTGCTGCGACCGTGCCTCGGGTGAGGGTATGTGGCTTCTTGGGCTTCTGAGTTTGGGGCGTCCCTACGCGTCTTCGGGCAGAATTGTGAGGCCTCTGGCTTGCTGCCGCGCGCGCTCCATGCGTGCTCCTGAGGGTGTGTCGGGGGCTCTGACAGGGCGCATAATGATGGCGGTGCTGGCTATGATAATGATGATGATGATGATGATGATGACGCTGATGATGTTGATGGTGGTGATGATGATGGTGAGGGTGATGGTAAACATGACGATGATGATGATGATGATGACGGTGATGATAATGATGATGATGTTGATGATGGTGATGACGATGATGACGATGACGACGGTGGTGATGATGGTGCTGATGATGATGTCGGTAATGATGATGATGGCGCTGATGCTGATGCTGATGGCGCGCGATGGAGATTGTTTCCTCTCTCTCTCTCTCTCTATCGCTGCCGTCGCCTAAGGTGCGTTGAGCAGGTCGCGGCTCTTGCGAGCAATTCTGGCCCACCTGGCCAACTTCGCCACGCGTGTCTCGAGCTCCTCGCCACTGGATTCAACCTCTGTCGGGCTGCCGTCGACGGGCGAAGGGGGGGGGGGGGCCTGCGAACATTCACGGGGCGAGGGGTCCCGTCTGATGCGACTCTCTCAGCGGTCTGGCGCCAGGCGCGTTCAGCTGCATGGTCAGCGGCTCGGCCCTGAGCGACCATGTCGCCAGCGACCGTGGTGTCCAGAGGTGGCGCGGTCTGGTCCTCAGCGACCATGGTGTCCGAGGCGGCCTGCGCATGGCCCTCAGCGGCCTTGTCGGTCTGGTTGGCGACGACCTGGCCCTCAGCGGCTTGGTCAGCGGCTCGGCTCTCAGCGACCTTGTCCTCCGCGACCTGGCCAGCCGCTCGGTCGGCTACGACCCGGTCGTCAGTGGCTTGAACAACGGTCTGCGGGTCCTCAGCGAAATTGTCCGAAACGGCTTGGTCTTCAGCAGTTGCGTCGGCGTGGTCGGCGACGACTGGGCCGCGGCGCCTCTGGCCGCGTCGGCGCCGCGTCGAACGCGCGGTCGCAACAACAGACAGGGCTCGCCGCGAGAGTTCCAGTACCGAATGGGCGGGAGAAGCTTCGGGGGCATTCTGGCGCTGAAACGGCAGCGGTATGACATCGATTCAAATACGGATGACGGTATTGTTGGTCGCGGGTGGTTACAGTGTATGTTGTTGGTTACAATGTTTGATGCCGAGTGTTTTGGTGTGCGTGGTTGTGTTTGTCGTTGTTGGTCGCTTTGTTATTGATGACAGTGGTGATGTTGTTGATGATGTCAGTCTTTGTTGTTGGTTGCGGAAATTGTATGGTGATGGCGTTGTTTGTTGTTTGGCAGTGGTGCTGTTGTTGACGATGTCAGTGTTTGTTGTTGGTTGCGGGGTGTTTATTGTGATGGCGTTGTTTGGTGTTGATTGTTACGGTGAGTATTGCAATGGTGATGGTCATGCTGACGAATGTGACAATGGCGATGATGAAGATGGTGGGTATGGCAACAATGATGTTGATGATGATGATGATTGTGGTTATGATGGTGTACGGTGATGTTAACCGATGGTTGCAGCTGTGCTTGGATGACATGCGATGCTGATGATGGTGTTCTTTTTTTGTTCAGGCGCTGCTAAGGGTCGTGCAACAACGATGGCGCGATTACGCCACCAATCCCAGCCAAGTAACTACTTCCAACTACATTGGGCGGGCGCACGCACGACGCAGACATGCGCGCCCTGCCTCGCCCAAGCTGACGGGCTGCGCATCGCGCAAGCGTGCGCGAATGCAACGCGTTCGGGGCGGGCCCCAGTGGTGCGTGCGAAGCCAAAAGCAAAGCCTCGGCGCATAAGGCCATGCTCTCGCCACTGCAGGAGGTCGCCCTTCCCGAGTTCACCCGTCGGCGAATTCAGGATGGGGGCCCAGGCCACGCATTGGATGTGGCACTGGTCTGTCGCAGCGAATTCTGCGTTGCATGCGTGCACGGGGCCGCGCCGACAGACTGGTGCCAGCGTGTCTGGCTTGCCCAACGCCTTGGCCAATCTCTGTAGATCGCTTGCAAGAACGGTGGTTGGGCTCTCGTTGAGCGAATAGCCGCGCGCGCGCGCTTCATCACTTTGCGATGGCGCTCAGGGCCAAAACAAGACAACAGAACGCGCCAACGAAGCCAAAACTCGGGCACGTGTTTCTGCAGATGGATCTTCCTTTTGACGGACCTCAGGTATATATTCTTGAACAGTTCGTGATGCGTCCGCATGGCGCTCTGCAGCGTCGACACGTCGGACAGGTCGCCCCTCTGGAAAATTGCCAACATGACCCGAAGCAGCGCGAACCAATCCAACGCCCGCTGCAGCCCTTGCGATGCGCTGCGGTGCCACGACAACGTCAACGAACAGCCCAAGCACAACTACGGCAGAGAGCGCCTCTGCTGCAAACCCTCTGAGGTGCTTCCCATGCGCCGCAAAGATGCGATCAACAAAAAAATGCGCCCCAAACCCTTCGTGTTCTTCGGGGAGGTGACTTGGCTGCACCATGCATCTACGTCGTGCTTGGCGGTGCCGCGTGGGCAGATCAGGTTCACCAGCCCGTTAATCTCATATTGAGCGCCCCCCCCCCCCCCCCCCCTGACGCGACGCACGCGCGCATCCAGTCAGGGTACTCGCACCATGGCGGTCGCAGCGTGGTCCCCACGAGGTCGTCCCACAGCACCCCCTCGGGGTCCCACTTGACGCCAGTGCTCTGCTGCAGAAAGGCGAGGTCCCCTCCGCCATGTGCGCGCGCCGCCACGCGTCTTGCCAGCTCGTGCAAGGTTTCGGGCGTGTGCGGGTCCATGCGCTCGTACTCGGCGCTATCGACGTGGGCCAAGTAGGGGTGGTGAAATGGGCGACGCCGCCCCAATATATTCCGACGCCATCCGCGCGGCACGCTGCCGTTGAAACCAACGTGGTTGAATGCCCATCACATGCTGCTCCCAGTCGGCGACGAGCACCGACGGCTTAGCGCGAAATTGCATAGACTCACAATTGTGTGTCAAGCCAACTCAGCTCAAAGACTCGAGCAACGAGCGGGTCATGATCCGAACAAGGTGTGACCATGCCACTTTTACTTCTGATCAGCCACTCTCGCGTAAGCGAACGGAATCCAAGCCAAATCCCCGTCCCTGAACCAAGCGGGGTATTGCAAGATTGTGAAATAAAGGCATTGGCAAGACCGTCCATCGTCAGGGCGCTTTTCGTTCCCTGGCTGGGCCATGTCTAAGTACAGCACAATGTCCAAAGTTTCTGGGGGCGCACGCTGCACTACACCGCTGAGAAAACGGGAAAAAACTGGCCGATACAGTGCACAAGTAATACAAGAGAGCAGCTGGACAAACTTGATTCACCGTCATCGTGCCACCAGGCCCCACGATCAACGCGTTCGTGCCGACAGTGCCATAGGGTGTGCTTGCGTTCCGAATGGAATGGAGGTGCCGATGCGATCGTTTAGGCGCCCGTTGCACTCTATGAGTGACCGATTGAACCGTGTCTGCCATAGCCTGAATCATCGTTAGTGCAGCACATCCGCTCGCAGCCGCCGCGACTGCGTAAGTCTCGAACGCAGCATCGCTGTTCCGTTTCTTGCCGGGCATTGGGTTCGTGGACACCGAAACGGTGCACTGAAATCGGGCCACAATACAGCTGAGCCCAAAGCGGCTAACGTGATGACGATGATAGGTGCGATGTGTGGCCATGCGTGTCGTCTGCACATCAAGTATATGTGAGTCGGTATGTTTATATGTGGGTCTACAAGTATCTGTGAGTCGGTCTGTTTATGAGTGGGTCTACAAGCATCTGCGAGTCGGTCTGTTTATGAGTGTGTCTACGTGAGATATTGTGAATATGATTCTGAGTGGTCGAATTCTGAGAGGGTCTGGTTCTGAGAGTCGAGGCTCTCCGGCGTGGTTTCGAGCGTTTCCTTGCGTTTATCTTGGAGGAGAAGGAGGAGGAGGAGGAGGAGGAGGAGGAGGATAAGGAGGATTATGATAGTGGTGATTGTGGCCCTTTTTTCATTCAGCACCACCCCTAGCGCTCAACGTGCATGAACTCCCAATCCTGCGTGTCCTCGTCTGGCCTGGCGACCCACCCCCCGTCGAAATCGCCGATCGACTCGCAAAATGTGCTGTCGAAGCCGCCCACGGTTGCGATGCGCTCGGCTTTCTCGGCCTTCTCGGCCAACATGCTGATCTGGCGTCTGATTATGCTGATGCCCTTTGCGATGCTGGCCGCTTCTTCGTGGTTCAAGTTGTCGGGGACGAGTGCGGTGATTTGGTCAACATCCTTCAACATCTGCTCGAGCTTATCGTTGATGGCAATCACATCGGGATTGATACGCACCTCGTCCTCCATTCGGTCCTCGACCTCGCTCTTCACAACTTCCATCGCAATGGAAACCGACGGAGCGCCGATGGGTCGTCGAGCCAGCAGGTCATACAGCTACGGGTTGCGGTCGCTATCGTCTCCACCCTCCTCCTCGACCACCGTCTCGTCGTCCGCCTCCTCCTCCTCCTCCTCCCCCTCCTCGACCCCTGAAATGCGACATCGATGTCGCGTTTCAGGGGTCGTTCCTCTTCCTCCTCCTCCTCGTCGTCCTCCTCCTCGTCGTCCTCCTCGTCGTCCTCCTCCTCCTCCTCCTCGACCCCTGAAATGCGACATCGATGGCGACATCGATGTCGCGTTTCAGGGGTCGTTCCTCTTCCTCCTCCTCCTCGTCGTCCTCCTCCTCGTCCTCCTCCTCCTCCTCCTCCTCCCCACGCGCACTCATTGAATCCTAAACTCAAGATGCCCTATCTGTTGAAACTGTTTTTTGTATATACGGGAGGATCAAGCAAGTCGAAATCTTCGTAAAGAATGGTCGTTCGCGCCTATCTTTTACACCCCGTCTGGCCCCATCCAGAACCATGTGTCAGATGTAATTTCAGCCCCTACATGTCAGTTAAATCCAAGCTTCATCCCTGCATCATCTCTACTGTATGTATGCCCTGATTGACCGATACGTTGCCGACGCAATTTCCAGCGTGTAACTTCCAATCGTAGAGCTTACATCCCATCCATCTGAAATCGAGAATTATGCTTGGGACCTTCTCCAGGTGTTTGGGGGGCCCCGTTTGGTTTTCTTAAGCCTCGAAGGGCCCAGTCAAACCCTCGAGTAGGCCTTCGGAGTCTCAGATCTAAAATTCGGAACTTCCGAGGGTGGGCGGGGCCGGCACATTCGGGCACACGTTCCGGCGCACGGGGGGGGGGGGCCCGGCACGCCATACATTCGGTTGGGCGGAGAGTTCCGGCACACCTCCGGCACGCCCCTCTTTCGCGCGCGAGAGAAGGGGGCGGGGGGCAAACGAGGATTGTGCTGCTTGAAGGGTCCGTTTTGTCAGGAGTGAAAGTGGGGTCGTTCAGTTCCCCTCTCTCCCCTCCCCCATTCACCTCAATCCCCCTCGTACTTTCCTCCGCTTCTCCTCTCTCTCTCTCTCTCGCCAGGCGACCTGTTTTTTCTTCTCCCTCCTCTCTCTCTCTCTCTCTCTCTCTTTCTCTCTCTCTCTCTTCTCTCCTCCTCCCTCCTCCTCCTCCTCCTCCATCCTCCTCCCTCCTCCTTCTCCTCCTCCTTCTCCTCCTCCTCCTCCTCCTCATCCTCCTCCTCGTCCTCCTCCTCCTCCTCCTTCTCCTCCTCTCCTCCGCTCCTCCCTCTCTCCTTCTCCTCCTCTTCCTCATACCTCCTCCTCCTCCTTTTCCTCCTCCCCCCCCTCCTCCTCCTCCTCCTCCTCCTCCTCCTCCTCCTCTCTTTATCCCTCCTCCCTCCTAATCCTCCTTCTCCTCCTCCTCTCTCCTCCTCTTTTTTTTTTTTTTTTTTCTCTCTCTCTCTCTCTGGCTTCCGCAGTAGGATGATGAATGTGATGAGGGTGTTCCTGATGATGATGGCGATGCTTGTAATGATGAAGGTAGTGACGGTGGTGATGATGTTAGTTGTTA